GCCCCCCCCCCCCGCGATTTAGTTTTAGTCATCGGACACAGCCACCTCTTTCTTTGAATTATATTTAAATTTAATCTTGTTGGATTTCTCGAGAATCTCCAGACTTCGATCATTCATAAATATTTTAAGCCTATAGTTCAGCCAATGTGGCTAATCGCTTTCTTAACCATAAGTGCTGGCCTCTGACAAATATTTAATATATTTACAAAACTGGAATTTGTTCTTTTTGCAAATTTCAAACTCAAAGTTTGTCATCAGAAATATTCTTGAGTGCATCCTGTCTGCTCTGAGCTGAAAACTTTAGAAGGGGATATAATTAATCCCGATCGGTTAATTAATCTGGAGATAAATATGAAGAAGAGAACAAGCATTATTTAATCTGGAGATTAAGAAAAAGAGTGGATCAAGCATTAATCCCGATATCCACCATTCAAAAGTTCCCAGCTCAGATCTTATATTCTTTAATGATACTTTTTAGTGATTTAGATGAATATCAATAATTCTTCTTAATTGTAGTTTAGAAACGGGATGTTTTTAACAAGAGGAAAATATTCCCGAGAAATGTTCCAGCTTACAGAAGTGACATGAATAACAAATCATGATGAGATTTTAATTTTTATGTTTACGTCACGTCATTATTAAAATTTTCCATCTCTGAATGTTAAAAACAGAACAAAAATAATTTGAAAGTTTGTCTTAGTAAAAAAATGAGTTACCCTTAAAGAAATGCTTCCGACCTGAATCTGGATCCATTTTTTTCAGAACGGATCCAGGATCCGGATCCGCATCAAAATGAAATGGATCCTATGAGTGAGTGTACAGTAATTCATTAAACTTATGTAGACGGGACCTCAAGCTTGATCACTACGGGGCTGAAATTTTTATTTTTATCTTTAGTCATTCGAAAAAATAGTCTTTCGTCTTTATTTCAATGTTTGAGGGGTTTTTAAGTTATGATCGAAAATACAAACAAACAGAGATTACAACTTAATATATAGACAATGTAAAGAAATTTATTTGAAACCGAAATTCCAAATATGGCAGTATTTTTTACTAAATACTTAGTTAATCATGATTCTGAGAGAAACAGAATCAACATTAATATTTAGAAAAGTCTAATTTCAAGAGATGTAATTTTTCAGAATTTTGAATCCTTATCTTTCAGCAAGAATTAAAGAGACTTTCACGTTTATTAATGACAATTCATGACCGATTCGCAATGGTGTCCTTTAAAGCTATATCTAAGCAAAAATGATTGAGTCTTCCTTGTGTTTCTATCTGAAGATAAGTTATTTCAATAAAGGTTCTCTTAAAGGGAATGTTAACGTAATTTCAAGTGACCTTCTGTGCAAAGATGGCAATTCCCGATTCACAACGGTACCCTTGTAATCTTTTTCTCATCAATAATGTGGAAGATACTGACGTTTTTCTAGGTCTAAAAAATTAAAATTTTTAAATTCTGACAATGAAAGAACTTGATTGAATTAAAACATTTTAAAATCAGAAAAACAAAAAAAAATTGAGGATCCTTAAAAAAAATTAGGTCCACAGTCCCTTTAAGAATCAAATCTTCCTTTGACATTTGCTGAATAAGTGGGCGTCCAATGTGATCACTGATCATCATGTGATCTCTGGTTGACTGTGTTTGTTTGTTTGTCCGATCATAACTTGGGAACCCCTGGACCGATTTGCCTCAAATTTGAACTCGGAAGACCCACTGGAATTTTCTTAGCTTAGTTTTGAGATTCTATGTTGAGTAGGTCGACTTAAATAGCGAAAATTCAGTTTCCTCGGTAAAATTGTTCAAGTGCGGGTAAATGGTGGGAATAACTTTTTGTAACCTGGGCAGC